CTTATATATATATATATATATATATATATATATATATATATATATAATTAGACTGATTGTATACATATCTACTATTTGAGGATTAAAATTAAAAATTAGTTAAAAACTAATAAAAATTAGTTAAAAACTATATGAAATTATATAATTGTATTATGAAAATTTAAATTCAAACAAACCATTTTCATTAGTTTTATAAATTCATTTTAAAAATATCTACTAACCAGGGATTGACTGGGATTAAATATTGTAAAAATAGTTGCCTGCTGAAATTTAAATGTATATACATCTTCATCATGACTAGATAGACACGGTGAGTTTGTCTTTACTATACACGTTAGATGTGATCCACCTCATAGTAACAATCCTGTCAGATCGTCCATCCTTTGAGTATAACGTGTAACGTTACAGGTCGGCCGATCTGGTTTCGTGGTTAAAGTTAACCTTTTCGGCATGTTTCCGCAATGTTGTCTGGGGGTTTGGCAAAAGGAGAGTGGGACTGTGGGTGGTGCTCAGGGTGGTGACTGAAGGCAGTGACTGTGTAGTTCTGACGTCAGCTTTTTACGGAAGTCACAACGGTTCGTGAAAAATCACAGCTACTTTATGCAGGCTGTGTGCATTTTACTGTGGACTGACTGTTTTGAAACTTATATGGTAGTTAAATAGCCCCTAGACCTCAGTTATCATGAAAAAAGCCAGGAAATTTCAGTTTTGACAATATGGGACCTTTAACACAGCACATTGTGTAAACTAAAGTGCAATTCAACAGTTCTTACTATAAAGACAGGTTCAAACAACAGCCTGTGGTAGATGTTTGAAAAACACTAACTACAATCTGATGCGATTATAATTGAACTCATTGCAGCTTCAAAGTCTCTGTGCATGAGTGAATGTTCCCTGTTCCTCAAAGATGATTCAACATCTGAAAACAGCAGCCATGCAGGCAACCACCAGATGAGCCCCTCTCTTCCGTGTCTTGTAGATGGGGCTCTACACATGTTTTTGTCAGATTTTCAATTACGCAGCCCACGGGAGACGCTGGCCTGATCAGAGTGAATTAGACCGAGGCCTCTGCCACAGATGAATCATGAATAATGCGGTTACTCTCGTGGTTTTGTGGACATGTGCTCAGGCTCATACAGGAGATGAAGTGACATTTGCCCTGAGGAAGCAATGATCATCTCTCACCTCTTCATCAGAGTTTGCTCCCCTCTATTCCGCACTGAAACAGCATCGATTCTCTCTGCAGGCTAAATAAGGACAAAACTATCTCCCGTCTCTATCTGTCTTTTTTTGTGGAAACGCTAAAAAGTGGTTTGGCTTGGGAAATGGCGATAAGTTAATGACATAGGGAGGTATTATCTGGTCTTTATTGGACAGATTGATAATTGTGGCTTATTTTCACTGGAAAAAAGAACAGTCTTATTGAGAATGGAGGCAGAAAATGAATGGCGTTGAGTGAATTATCACACCGAGAGCAGGGCGGATGGGAGGAGAGGTGCTTCATCCTTTAAAATCTGAATGGAAGGTGCACTGTGTCAGGTTACAGATTTCAGAGAGAGGGAACTGGAGGAGGAAAGATATCATGCATCATTCAAGAGCTTTCTCTCTCTCTCTCTCTCTCTCTCTCTCACACACACACACACACACACACACACTAAGGTTATGGATGTAATTGAAAATGTCTTTTAAATAAAAATTAAAACCATGAATTTGAATTGCAATAGCAATTCAAGAATGCAGAATTATAATTAAAATAAAAAAGTGGAATTAAAATAGAATTAAAAGGAAGTCTATAGAAATACATATAAATCTTAGAAGTCTATTTTTCTATAATTTCATTTTTCAGTATGACTTACCTTAAATACCAAATATGTTATTATACACAACATATAGGGTATTTCCAAAATCATTAGTTCATATTGATAATCATATTTAAAATGGCAGCTATAAAAAATAAATAATTTTTAGACAAATATATAATTCTATTTTGTGTATTTTAATATATCATTGTATATTATATAATGTGTATGATTTAATACATACTGTAATA